TTCCAGGCTTGATTTAGTCGGGAAGCTCCAGCCAACACTGTCCACTATGGGTGCCCATTACCACAATTGGCACATCACTGTCACAGGCTCCAGCATCACAGCAACCACGAGTTACCTCCGCACAGCAACGCAAAGACCAGTGCTATACCACCTAGAAGAATGTTTGACAGGAAGACAATTTGAACCTGGCATATATATGATGTTGTTGTTGTTGTTAGGTCGAGTCATAGACGACTCACATCAACCCTATGAATGAAAGACCTGAGCACTATTCATAGAGTTTCCGGAGGCAAGCCATTTCAGAAGTGGATGCCACTCCTGCTTCCAAACTTGTTTTAATTGGGAAGCTCCACCAAACACTGTTCACCATGGGTAACCATTGTCACATTTGGCACATCAGTGTCACAATATGTAGCATCACAGCAACTGTAAGCCACCTTTGTACAGCAATGCACAGACCAGTGCTATGCCACTTAGAAGAAATGTTTGAAAAAAAAAACAATTCAGACCAGGCGCGAGGGCTGCAGGAGGCTTTATCGCTTCCCTAACGCATCAACTTTCCACCCCAATGTAGAACCCAACTCCTTCAGATTCCTTTTAAATTGGATTCCAGCCCCATGCTGCCGACCAAAAAGCTTTTTTAACTAGCCTTTATCATCTCTCCACACTCTCATCATTATCTCTTTTAAAATGTATTAGTGATGTGTTTGTAGGGTACTTAAATTATCTTTGGTTCTGAGTCATAACAATTGTTTTTAATAGACAAAACACATCACTACTTGTAGTGCACCATCTTCACAATGAGTATATTTGAGCCTATTTTTGTAAACACTGTTATCAATCTAAGAGATTTCAAGAAATTATAATCCTCATTTCTCAATATAAATTACTTTATCTAGTTTTAAATCCCAGGGAGCTCTGGTGACCTGGTGGGTGAAGATTTGTAATGTTAACCCAAGGCTGACTGGAGCTGATTATCAACTGCTTAAATGCAAGTTCAAACTGAAGATGAAGAAAATGAAATGAGAATCAAAGTAAAAGTTTGAATCAGTCCCACCTGATTTTAATACTATCTCGGGAATAAATCTGATGGATTGAACACTTATCATTGAAGACCTGACTCTCAAAAACACAAAACACCAACAAGTACTTGTGTGTAGGCATATATATAAATATTTAAACAAACTCATCACATTGCCATCAATTCAGAACCAACTTGTAGCTCAACCTCCAGTTTTCAGAGATATAAATCACATAGAAAGAGACTCTGTTGCTCTTTCTCCAGTGAACAGCTGTTGAATAACACACACACATTGTTGTTATGTGCCATCGAGTCGTTTGCGATTCACAGCGACCCTATGTATAAGAGCCCTAAACGTCTTTCTATCCTGTGCCAACCTCGTCGTCTCAAACACACTCATTCCCACCACTCACTCACAGAATCGATCCATCTCATCGAGGGTCTTCCTCTCCTGTACCGTCGTCTTTCCACTCTCCCAAACATGATGTCCCTCTTCAAGGACCAGTCCCTCCTTGCAACATGCCCAAAATAAGTCAAATGAAGCTTCAGAATCCTTCAGAATCCAAAGAGCACTCCGCCTTCACCCTCTTCAGGACAAACCTGTTTGTTCTCCTAGCAGTCCATGGTATATTCAACACTCTTCTCCAGCACCACACCTCAAAGGCATCAATTCTCTTTCTATCATCCCTAGTCACTGTTCAACTTTCTGATGCATAGCACATAACTGCAAAGATTATAGCCTGGATCAGGTGCACTTTAGTCTCCAGCCTG